AAATAAAAAATAAAATAACCTATCAGAGCAAATGGTTTTATTTTCCCCATTTTACAGATTAGAAAATTAAGATTTATAGATGTTAAATGACATTTCCAAGATCACACAACTAGTATGTAAGATGGATTGGAAAAGGGAGACATTGGAGGCAGGGAATTTATGGGAGACATTTTTACAGTTCTACAGGTGAGAAGTGGTAAGGATCTTGACCAGGATGGTACAGTGAATACTTAAGACAAAGAGATTATGACGTACATTTCCCAGAATGAAAGACTATGACTTGCTAGTAGTTTGAGTATAGTGAATTAAGAATTGGAAAGATTTAAGGGTGAGTGTAGTGCTTCTATCTTGAAGAGTAGAATCATGGTGGTGCCAAGGTTAGAATTAGGAGATCTGGAAATGGAAATAGGTTTGGGGTTTTACATGATGTTTGTTTGCTATAATCAGTGTACTTGCTTCAACCATCTATTGAACTTCTTTGAAGTATTTGCTATTATTGGTAACTCAGTTCTTAAATTTTTCATTTTCTTAGGATTTGACTTTGGTCAGTGGTTCTTTTCCCTTCTCTTCTTATTCTTTTTTCCTATTCCCTTTTCTCTGCCACCTCTTGCATCCTCAGTATGGTTCTCATTCCCTGCTATAAGTAATGATTCACAAATATATATTTCTACCAGGTGGATCTCTAAATGGAGATCTGTCTACTTAAATTCCTCATGGATATCATGTAGGTCTCCCAGGTACCTCAAAATTCAGCTCATCTAAAAGTAAATTCCTTTTTTCCTCTCCAAACTCCAAACCTGCTCTTTCTCTCATTGTCCTTGTTTTGGTGAATGATATCATTTTCTATTCAACCAGAAAACTGAGTTATTTTTGAAATATTTTCTTATATTCCATGTTCTAATTAGAGAACATGTGTGGTCCTTTCTGTCTCCCTAATGTCTTATTATTACCTCTTTTTAATCATACCATTATTGACACAATCCGGGTATTTATTATTTCTCAACTGGACCATTGCAAAAGTCTCCTACATGATCTTCCTATCCCCCTTCTTGACTGCTTCTAAATTATCTCACATATTGGAGATAGATTGAACATTGAAAACAAATTCATGAAATCTGCCTTCCTTAAAGGTACTTTAAAAGATCTCTATTTTGGGGCACCTGGGTGGCTCAGTTGGTTAAGCATCCAACTCTTGATTTTGACTCAGGTCACGATGTCTCAGTTTGTGCGATTGAACCCCAGATCAAGCTCTGTGCTGACAGTGTGGATTCTGCTTGGATTCTCTCTCTTTGCCCCCGACCCCCAAATAAGTAAACTTCTACAAAAAAAAATCTTAAAAAATAAAAAAAAATAAAAGGTCTTTATTTCCTAAAGAATGAAATCCAAATTCCTTGGCATGGCATGGAACCTTCTGTGATGTGGCTTTTGCTCACTTTTCTGCCCTGTTTTTACCTTGCTATCTTAGATACCCTTATTACTGAGCTGTTTACAGTTTTTCAGATGTGCCAGGCTATATAGTACTTCATTCCATTGTTCACAGTTTCTGCTTCCTGGAATGCTCTTCTTGTACCACTTCCACACTTGTGGGACACCTACTTAGTGTCACTTCTTCCCTTGCCAGGAGACCATTATATTCTTTATGCTCCCACTAAATCTGGTATCATAGAGCTTCTAATGCTATATTCATTTATATGTCTTTCTTACTCTGTTCCCTGTGGTTCTTTTAGTTGTATTCTCTGGTTCCTAATATTTTGCATCAGTGCATTCTAGGCTAGAGTTTGGCAAACTCTTTCTGTAAAGGGAAAAACAGTAAATGTTTCAGATATTTATTTATTTATTTTATTTATTTATTTTTTATTTATTTTATTTTATTTTATTTTTTAAAATTTTTTTTTTTTAACGTTTATTTATTTTTTTGGGACAGAGAGAGACAGAGCATGAACGGGGGAGGGGCAGAGAGAGAGGGAGACACAGAATCAGAAACAGGCTCCAGGCTCTGAGCCATCAGCCCAGAGCCCGACGCGGGGCTCGAACTCACGGACCGCGAGATCGTGACCTGGCTGAAGTCGGACGCTTAACCGACTGCGCCACCCAGGCGCCCCTGTTTCAGATATTTAGATATATTTTTGGACCAGATGGTCTCTGTCACAACTATTGACAGTATTTAAATGAATGAGTATGGCTATACTCCGATAAAATTTTATTTATAGAAACAGGTGGTACACTGGATTTGCCCTACTGGCCGTAGTTTACCAGCCTTTATTCTAGACTCTCGGATAATTTGTTAAATAATTTGAGCTCTTGCATATTAAAGACAACAGGATAGCTAACTAGGCAACAAATGAGCTAGAAGCATGGTATTGAAATAGAAGCCAGAGATTAAGGCTATTTATATAAGTATTAGCTAATGTTATATTATCAATGAGATCACTAAAGGATTGGTATTTAGGGTATGTGTGTGTGTGTTTTATGCCTAAAAAAATACAGCAAAGCTAGATTTTAAACATTAATCCTCAAACAGGGAGTAGTTGTTTATACTAATATACATAAATAATAGCTGTTCAATAAATGTTTGTTGAATGAATGAATCAACAATTGGTCTTTTTCAATGATGTGGTTAGGAAATGGTCAGTCTATGATTTTATAGAAGAGTTCTGTTCCAAAAGTTTATTTGAAAAGAGGGTTTTCAAAAGTTAAGGCACGTTTCTTCATACATAGTGTTATTTATCTAAAGTGTTGTTCGCAAGCTAATACATAAAATCCTAATTGATTTATAACACATTTGAAACAATGTTTAACAGTTAGTTCTATGCAACCTCTGACAGCCAAAGTTTTTCTTTAGAAAATTGTGTTCAGAATTAGTTTGTTCACTGGGACTACGTTTTTACCTCTTTAGCTTTAGCATTAATATCAAGATTTTTCATTTTTCTCTTGTAAGTGTGCAGGAAATGGTACTATTGCAGTCCCAAGGTATTGCTGTTTTTTTCTGTAGTTCCATAGATTCAGAAATGGACTAAATCTGGGTGAAGTTTGGTGGGGAAGAATAGAAAACAGACCTCTCAGGAAGTTAGAAATCAGGATGTAAATCCTATGGACAATTCTCATTCCCCAGTTTCTGCCTTTTCTCTCTTCCTTCTCCCCCCCCCCCCCCAGGACACTGTAGTCTTAAAGTATCAGAGATTCTCTCTCTTGGCCTGTTACAGGACAGAACCTCATTTTATACCTACTCATTTACTGTCCCATACCTGATCAGTAAGTCTTCTGCCTCTGAAGCAAACACAAATCTTTTTTTTCTCTTTTAAAACAATAATAATCAGGGGTGCCTGGGTGGCTCAGTCGGTTAAGTGTCTGACTTTGGCTCAGGTCATGATCTCTGTTAATGAGTTCAAGCCCTACTTCAGGCTCTGGGCTGACAGCTCGGAGCCTGGATGGAGCCTGCTTTGGATTCTGTTTTTTCCCTTTCTCTCTGCCCCTCCCCAGCTAATGCTCTGTCTCTCTCTCTCTCTCAAAAATAAAAAATAAGCAACAACAAAAAAATCAGTTATTATATGCCAGCCCTGGGGAATATGTAGAGGATAAACTTGAAATAAGACTACTTACTAAGTTTAGAAACCATGGGTTGGTATTTTCAGATTCCATTTCTTTCTATAAGGAATATAGAGAAAGTTTCCTTCCTTTCTTCTCTCCTCTCCTTATCTCCCCTTTCCTTCCATTTTATAGCTATTAGGAAAGAAAGGCTCAAATGATAGTGGTGGGTCTTTGGATGAAAAAAGAATTAAAGTAAGATTCATCTGTATTAAAAAAAAAAAACCTTTATATGGGAATTTTGTCTCAGACCTGTCAACTTAATTCTTAATCTTTTAAAATTGCTCTACATACTCTATATTTCTGTAATGGATAAGTCAGTATTGTTTCCATGACATATTTTGAACACAAAGTATTGTATTTCATGTACCCTGTATATATAGACTTATAATTAATCATAATTCTAACTTAGTTAGATATATGGAGTTTAAACTTCTGTAATTGGTTTTTAGGATAAGTAGTACTTCACATTTTTTAGAATCTGACCTTTTGTTTTTTGAAATCTGTAACATTTTAATTGTTGATTATTTTCATATGTAGTACTAATAACCTTTGAAAACATAGATTTTTATATTTAACTTTTGTTCCCACTGCAGGAATCAGAGATGGAAACAGAAGAAGAGGTTGACATCTTAATGAGTAGTGATATTTACTCTGCAACTTTATCAACCAAATCGATTTCTTTCACACGTGCCCAAACAGGATGGCTTTTTCGGGAAGATAAAACAGTATGTGCCGATCTTGATTTTTCAGTTTAAAAAATTGTTTATTTTTTAATGTTGCCAAAATAATGTGGTGGAGGTGTAGGAAGCTTACTGACTTATTTTCCAGTAGTTTATTCTCTCCTCCCTGAATCAAAGATAGGGAATTATAATGGTTGTTTACAGAGTTGGAAGTTATTTTTGCAGAAGCCAGGAGAGAAAGTTTAGCTCATTTGAATTTTATGTTGGGAAAGATTCTTGATGTCAACTGCCTTGTTATTTACAGGGAACAGTGTCTTCACATGGTTCTATTATATTTCTAATGCTTTTATTCCTTAAGAAGACCATTAAGAGGGATACACTTTTGAATTCATTTCCCTGGACCTTTTTATTGTTTCCACATTGACTTCAAAACTATGTACTCACTCAGAATCTGTTTCTCAGTAGTCCATATATATGACTAAAATTAAATAAGCTTACATTTCTATAACACTGTCATTAAATTAAATTTCCATGGAGATTCCCTCATTAGTGAATTGTAAATTCTTTCCATAATTCCCATTTCATCTGCCAGCAAGAGGTTATATAAAACTATTCAAAATATGTTAAACATGTTTAATTAGACATGAAGAAGCATTTGGTAAAGTTTTAAAGTTAAGAATAAATCATCATATAGGTGAAGGCCAAGATTTATTGCTTTTAAACATTATGTATTTAAAATTATGTTTTATTACACATGGTAGAAATGGACATATTCTTCCTGGAAAAATAAAAACAGCTTGCATTAGAGTTCTCTGAGGAAATCAGTAGATCTCTGTCTGTATCTCTATCTAGATATATGTATATCTCTATATAAATATATGGATATAGAGAGAGAAGGAGGGAGGACTATGTAAGAGATTGATTTATTTAAGGGAATTGACGTATGTGAATATAGGTGATGGCCACTCTGAAATCTGTAGAGCACTCTAGCAGGTCAGAAATTCAGGTAAGAGTTGATGTGGTCTTGAGTCTAAAATCTACAGGCTAGAATCTTTGGCAGGGTTTCTGTGTCACAGCCTTGGGGCAGAATTTCTTTTCCTTTTGGAAATTTTAGTCTTTGCTCTTAAGGTTGGCAGTTGTTTGAATGAAGCCTACCCACATTGTGGAGGGTAATCTACTTTATTCTAAGTCTAGTGATTTAACTGTTAATTACATCTAAAAAATACCTCCATAGCAACATGGAGACATGTTAAGCCAGACAGCTGGGCACCATAGTCTAGCCAAGTAGATACAAAATTAATCACCATACAACCTTATACATAAAGTTATAAAGTACCCCTTTACGAGTACTCAGTCCCCAGAGCCCTTTGTAAAGGATTATCCATTAGTATACTCAACTTTTTTTTATGTTCTGCATTCATAAATATGTATCCCTAGTAATATGTAGCTTTAGTTGTTGATATTTCTTTATTTTTTTCTGGTGTTATATCTACTGGTTTGGACCTTTTTTTCCCACTCTTTAGTTTGTTTAGAAGCTTTTTCTTATCAGTAGTGCCACTTCATTCTTTTTAACAACTGCATAGTATTCCATAATATGGATTGTAGTTTATTTATCCAGTCTCTTATTTATGGACATTTTGATGAATAACACACATTTGTGCCCAGTTTTCTGCCATTATAAATGATGTTGTGTTTATCATCCATTCACATGCCCTTTCATTGTCTATTATAGACAGCAAGAAATGGAATGGCTGGATTATGAAGAATATACACTTAAAATTTTTATTGATATGATAATTTACTTTTAATAAATTCTTTCTCATTAGAAGATTTCAAAAAGTGAGAATTATCACCTGAGTATTTCTCAGCCATAGAAAAATTCTCACTTTTAGATATAGGCTTCTCAACTTTCTTCTCTAAGCCTGTTTGGCAACAAATAGTATTATAGGATTCCTAGTTGTGAGCTCCTACACTGCAATCCCTTTGTTGGCTTGAAGTCTTATTTGTTTGTACTCTGTTCTTCTGGACAGCATTAGAGGATCACCTCAAGAGAAGATAAAAATTGAAGCTGCTATTCATCTAGTACTACTGCTAAGCAGCTCAAAGCTCTTGAACAGCGTCTAGGTGATCTTCTTAAATCTTTGACAGGTAAGGAGGGAGTCAGTAATACTTATGGTTCCCATTTTGTAGGTAGAAACAGGTGCAGAATGCCTTACTTTTTGGTGACTGGTAAGGAGGCCACCAAAAACAAGGTGGACATGGAAATAACTCTAAACACATAGTTTTGGAATGCCAGGAAACATCAGAAGATGGAGACCAAGTGATTTGCATGCAGGTAGAAATGAGAAGCTTGTTTTCAGTAAGTTATTGATCATGTTTTTTGTAGTAAGCTGTTTGAAACTGACCACCCATGGGTCTGAAAAAGGTGAAGGTTAATGTTGAAGAAGGACTTCATTGAAAGGAAATAATTCTTTTCTTGATATCATTTATATCACTTGAGTTTCCCTATCCCTAATCCATAATGTAAGCACTTAATTGTAATTGTATTGGTGAGCAAAACTATTCTGTTGTTCTCTCTTCTTTATTGAAAGCAGCAAGCAGCTGTAACTTGAAGTTTGATCCTGTTAGAGAATAGAGTATTGGAACAGGTAATTAATTCTAGTTATGCTAGAGATTCTTATGTAATTTAGATTATTTCTTTTTATTCCACTTTTTTTTTTTCTATCTATAAAATGGGAACAGTAATTATCCCTGACCCCTCCTTGTTACTCATGGTGTTTGACTATCAGCTAAATAAAGTTTTCAGATAGCTTTGTGCTACTTGGGAGTAGATTTTAAAGGAATACTATGTGGTATTTCTATTTAGATTTAATTCATTTGCAGATTAACTACCATACATCTTGGGTGTTTTAAATTTTCCTTTACAAATTTTAAATGTGTAATTGTATATATATTCTTAAATTTAATAAAATGCATAAAATAATTTGTTAAGTTCAAGTACCAAGTGAATATTTATTTTCACCTAAATGTTACATGTTTATGGAAAAACATTGTGTATTACTTTGAAACTTTCTTTTTGATCTAAGATAAACTTAATTCGTTTTATTATTCTGAAATATTTGAATGTTTTATTATTTTGATTATTTAATTTTGTTTTAGGAAAGAGTAGGAAACTTTTTGGCAGACTTTTATCTGGTGAATGGACTTGTTTTAGAATCAAGAAAAAGAAGAGAACATCTTAGTGAAGAAGATATTCTTCGAAATAAGGCCATTATGGAGAGTTTGAGTAAAGGTGGAAACATAATGGAACAGAATTTTGAGGTATAATATTTCTAATTTACAATTTTCTAAAGAGAGAAGGGGTACACTTCATTCCTGGCGCTCAGTGAGTTTATAGAAGAACATTCATAGATTTGTTTGTTTGTTTGTTACTATGTATCACCTTTTATTTTTCTGTGATAGGGCCTTTGGTGACTTTTTTGTGAATTTATTCTTGGTCTTTGAGTCTTCATTAACAGATTAAACTCATTTTATAAGCATGAAACCCAGTGTTAATTTTTAATCTGTGTCCCTTTGCCTATGTTTTTCCTACTTCATCAACTGAAATCTGTTGCTCTGAAGGCCCAGCTCCTTAATGAAGTCATTTCTAATCTATACTTTCCCATAAGTTTTTTATTCAGCATGTGTATATTGAGAGCATGCTTTCTGTAAAGAATTGTGTGCCAGTAAGGAAAGGGGAGGGGAAATTAGGAAATACTAAGGTACATGGGACATCATCATTGCCTCTGCAATCTTATTCCCTAATCAGATGAATTGGATGGGTTCCTAAATTTATTTTTCATTTTGACAATTTTAGATTTACAAAAACCAACTAAAACAGTACAAAGAATTCCTGGATGCTCTTCATCAAGATTCCCCAAATGTTAACATTTTACTACATTTGTATAGCAGTGTTTTTCAAATCGAAGGCACCATAGGGACCCCTTAGTAGTTTATGAAATCAATTTAGTAGGCTGTGACCACCCTTTTTAAAAGAGAAAAAAACTAGAATCTAAATAATGATGTTAGAGTAAAACCAGAGGACATCACATGTAGTATAGGTCATTATTTCTTTATGAAACCAAGTTTCAGGGGTGTATGTGTTTGTAAATATGTATATGTGTGAGTGCTGGTTTGAAGTGTAAAATGTGTCACAATAGCAAAAAGTTTAAAGGCTATTTTGAGGAGGCTTGAATTCCTTGAACATTTAGTCTCTCCTATGGTGTCAGATTATGTTTTAGCAATAGATAACCATTTCAGATTAGTATGCCAGGTTCCAGCTAATTCATGGTAATGCTGTGCATGCCAGGAAAATATTTTAATGTTTAGAAAGTTCATGTGTTTAAGTGACTCAGCCATAGTTTAGTTAAATAAGTACAGGATATGAAGTATTTAACAATCCTCATTAAATGTTAAAGTTGTGATTATGCCAGTGTAGTGTGGTCCTGTCCCCTTTCTGCCAGATCCTCTAGTACTTACTTTCTTTGGGCCATGGGATAGAGCCTCACAGGGTTTCATTTTCTGGAAGCCTTCGGGTATTTACTGATCTCTTGAGCAGTAGGACATGATATGCTTAGGAAATAGATATGGAGAAGATGAACTGAGAGAGGGAATGCTGAGCTCCGTCTTTACCAAAGCTGCTACCCTCTCCCATTATTGACCAGATAAAAGGCCATTTCTTTGGACTTGCCCTGTGATTTAAATTTTATTGGGCTTGTTAAAAATTCTGAATAGGTATATAATAGAATAAAATAATATGAAATAAATTAACTAATTAGCTTTTGACTTCTGGTCAGAAATCAAAGGAAACACTTCCTGTGTGAATCATAGCCCCTTGAACTGTATAGTTCTTGATGAATATTTAGATTCAGTTTTTCAATTTGTATAAAAGAAAAAAAACTTGATGGGATTTTGATAGGATGATGTTGAATCTGTAGATCAATCAATTTTTACATAAATGCCTGCTTGATTTTTCTTAATTTGACTTTTCATTTTGAGATAATTGTAGGTTCACATACACAGTTGTAAGAAATAATACAGAGAGATTCTATATATGCCTCACCCAGTTTCCTCCAGTGTTAACATCTTGCAAAACAGTAATATCATCACAAGCAGGGTATTTGCATTTATAGGCAAGGTATAGAACATGGCCATCACCACAAGATCCCTCCTTCCCCTTGTATAGGCACACCTACCTTTTTGCCCCTTTGCCCCTTCCCTGTCCATTATCCCTGGCAACCATTAATCTGTTTCTCCATTTTTAAAATTTTGTCATTTCAAGGATGTTGTATATAACCTTTTGATTCTGGCTTTTTTCCTCCTTCACTAGACTTAATTCCCTGGTAGTTTTTCCAGGTGTGTATATCAGTAGTTTGTTCCTTTTACTACTGAGTAGTAGTCCATGGTATGAATGCACCATAGTTTGCTTAACTATTCACCTGTTGAAGGACATTTGGGTTTCCAGTTTGGGGCCATTTATGAGTAAAGCTGTCATAAACATTCACATATAGGTTTTCGTGTGGACATAAGTCTTTATTTCTTTGGTAAATAAATGTTCTAAATGGTCTCTTTGGGAATGCATGAAGCTGGCTGTTTGTGTGTGTGCATGAGGGGTAAATGGGCAAGGGGGACCCTTAAGGAGTGGGCCCTAGGACTCTGTATGCCCCACTGCCCTGATGGCTCTGGACCATGGTTCATGCTAGTTGTTTGATGTATCTACTCTGTGTACTGTTCATACTGTAACTGGGGCCCATGGGTGCAAGAGCACTTGGCTCTGATGATCCCAAACAGAGTAGGTTAGGCCACTTGCCACTGACAAAATCCAAAGGCAGAGAGACAAGTGGTGGTGAAACAAGAAAGGAATTTATTTCAGTGAGGCCAACACTGGGAACACAGCTAACTGATGTCTCAAAGACTCTCCAAAGTGCTGACAGTACTTCTGGGTTTATGCAAGGAAAATGTGGGACAGAGGTCAGTGAGTACGTGCAGCTGGACAGTAAAGGTCAGGTTGATCATTGTCTTGAGGTCAGTCACACAGGGTCTTGCTGGTGTCTTGGCAGTTTTTATTGCTGAAAGGAATAGTTTGAGTTTCTATCAAGGGATGCTTTGCATGTAGGGTTTTTGTCCAAGTTAAAAGATAACTGGAAAGAAGAACTGAATCAATTTGAAAGTATAGACGGAGGTTGAATGGAGGTATTTGAAGTCCTCTCTCAATACTTCTCTCTAGAATGCCCAGACCTTGTTCTTGCTCTGGTCCATTCAAAACTCCCTCCATAGTGAGGGGTTCATATTCCTCCCCTCCACACACACACACAAAGACTACAGTCAGGTCCAGGTGCAATTGCTAGGTTTTGTGGTAGTTGAATGTCTTTTCATGTACTTATTTGCTATAAAATATACAGATTTATATCCTCTTTGATAAAATGTTTCTTCATGTCTTCCCATTGTCTAATTGGATTGTTTCTTTACTGTTGAGTTTTCAAAGTTCTTTATATATTCTAGATACTAGTTCTTTGTCATATGTGTGTACAGGTATTTTTTTCCTACTCTGTAGCTTATCTTTTCATCCTATTAAATGGGTCTTTTGAAAGGAAAAGTTTTTAATTTTGATGAGGACCAGTTTATCAGTTTTTGTTTTATTGCTTCCACCAAGTCTAAAAACTCTATGCTTATCTGCAAGTCCCTAAGATTTTCTTCTATATGTTTTTGATAAAGTCTTATATTTCTACATTTTACATTTAAGTCCATGAATTAGTTAATTTTGTATAAGGTGTAATGTCTTTTTACTTCTTTCTTTCTTCTTTTCTTTCTTTTCCTTCCTTCCTTCCTTCCTTCCTTCCTTCCTTCCTTCCTTCCTTCCATATTTTATTTGCCTTTGATGGCCAGTTGATTTAACACCATTAAAATAAAAAGAGCTATGCTTCCTCCATTGAATAACCCGCTGGAATTTTTATTGAGGTACTGTTGAATCTGTAAATTAAAGTCTGGAGACTTGATATCTTAAAAATATTGAATCTTGTATTTGATAAACATGGTATGTCTCTTCATTTATTTAGGTCTTTTATAGTTTATCTCAGAAGTGTTTTGTAGTTTTTAGTATACAAGTCTTACACATTATTTTACTAAATTTATCTGTCAAGCACTTAGTATGGTAATGTGTTTGGATTTCATTTTCCAGTCGTTCCTTGATAGCATATAGGAATATATATGATATTTATATGTTAGTTATATCGTTTTCATAGCTTCCTTAGGGTTTTCTACAGATGACCATATCATCAGGTAATAAAGGTTTACTTTTTCCTTGGTAACCTTTTTGCCTTTGTTTGTTTTTCTTACCTTATTATACTGGGAAGTAACTGGGAAGTAACACTACAATATAATGTTGAATAAAAGTCCTGAGAGCAGGTGCCATGCCTTTTACCTGACCTTAGAAGGGATTTTTTTTATATCAGTGTGAATTTTAAAAAATCATTATACTAATTTGCAACCTGGCAGAGGTAATTTATTAAGAATTACTAAGAGCCATGACTATATTGTTATTTGTTAGCTCTAGAATCCTTATAAGATTATATTTTTAATTGTTTTAGAATGAAGGAAGTATGTATCTCATATGTAGTTTGGACTTTTGATAGGGAAGAACTGAAGAATTACATTTGAGAATTTTTTGGAGTTCAATTATAAATATTTAGAAGAAATTTAAAGAAAATAGTAATTCTGTCAGATACTCACCTATACATATAATTTGATTTGGCTGAATCAGGTAAGGTACAGGATGCATGAACATCAAAATAGTATTGATAGGTCTAATAATAAAAAAGGTACAAAAAGCTGTGTTTGTGCGTGTATGTGTGTTTGTGTGTGTTTGTTTGTGTGTGCGTGTATTTTCTTAGATAGAATTTGCTAACACATGAAAAGCAGCATGAAATTGATACCAGTTTAATTCTATTCAATAGTGGGAATTAAAAGAGGAGAGAAATATTTGAATGCATTTTGTAGGTAATTTTAGGAATATAGTTCTTTTAAACCTACATGAGCTTTTTAGGAAAGGTATATATAAATTAACATGCAAAAGTTGAAAAATTTGAGTTAAAAAAGAGTAAACGGAGGGATCTGTTGAATTTTAATGATGAACTATGTTTATAATCTTAACAGAGTTTAAAAAAACATATACAGGAGTTTAAAAAAAACATAGGACCCTTAACCCAGGCTGTTCTTGCTTTAAGTATATTCCTTTCCAGTCTGCCTTGGTCGTAGTTGCTTCTTTCTGTATATTCAGATGTTTA